ACTGTTGAAAGCTTGCATAAATTAAAATTTTATCCGTTTGTACTCTTATGGATGATAAAAATGAGCCAATTAGCGCCCGAGAAATTAGACAGTTATGGTAAAAATTGTCTTCATAGTGAGCACAATAACGTGAAGTAGTGGAATAAATAAACAATAGTTTCCATTTGGCGGGAAAATATGCTAGGATATTTGTCCGCGGACATTATCTGTTCCAAGAAGCGAACAGACAATGAGCTTTGAGGAACAGAAAAAAAAAATTTTCACGAAAATGCCACTAAAATGCTCGAATAATGCTTAATGCTTTTGCCCCACTAAAGTGCTCGAAAGGGTTCGTTATATGAGTTTTATCGAAAACCTCGATATAACGAATTTGCGGAAAAACAACCAAAATGTTCGTTATATCAAGATATGGTTAAAAATTGCTTTTTTGTTTTCGTAACCCAGCATTTCTCTATCCGGAACGATTACTGTAAATAATATTTGTGCTTTAATGTCTCTGTGAAGCTACAATTACACTGTACAGATCTCTACATAGCAACGGCACCGAAAAACTAAATAGGTCAACAGAATTTTAATAATTGCAACTGACGTTTACTACAAGAAGCCTTCAAAAACAAATGTGTCGTTAGTGTCAGTGAGACTGTCTGCATTTATAATGAGCTTTTAACTGTCTTAACTTAGCCTGCAGGACAGGCGGATTAGCGGGGCAGAAAGCGAAACGCGCTAATCCGCCTGTTCTGCTGGCAGAAGTTCATCTATTGCTAGTCACGCGCGCGGGAGGCGAAGAGCAGAGCGATCCGGCGGGAAGGAGTGGGAAGGAGTCTGGTGAAGAGGCGTGCGTGAGCTCCAGTTCAGTGCCGTATATAGCAGGGTAAAATTTATTGAGGGGGGGGGGGGGGGGCNCGACTGAGTGCCGAAAGCGCGAACTTTTAGGGTGGTCCGGGGGCATGCTCCCCTGGAGATTTTGAAATCTGGGCTCTCTAAAATAGCCTTTCCAGTCTTCTGAGAGCAGTTTACAGCAATTTTTAACTGACTAAAATCATTGATCTGAACATTCTCGTCCCCAGTGCTACTCGTCTTAAAATGTCGTTGACGAGTAGCTCC